TATAAACTAAATTAATTATCTCTTCTTTCAATTAAACACATTATAGAATTAAAACAAATCATCCATGAGCAATGCCAAATTATGTAAAGTTCACTAATGCTCACATTTTAAATTGAAGATAATCATGTTAATCTTTAGTGATGAAATACCTCAGCCTTTGTTTTCTGGAAATGTCTTTATCTCTCCCTCATTTTGGAAGGACATATTTTCTGGGTCTAGTATCCTTGCTTGGCAGAATTTTTTATTTTTCATTCAAGTTTGAATATGTCATTTCACTCCCATATGGCTTCCAAAGTTTCAGCTGGAAAGTTCACTTTTAGCCTTCTGTAGGTTCTCTGTATGTGATGAGACTCATCTTTTGCTACTTTCACAGTCTCTCTTGTCTTTGAGTTTTTGACAATTTGATAATGTTTCTCATTGTATTCTGCTTTGTGTTGATCTTGCTTGTGATCCATTGAGATTCATTAATCCACAGTTCTACATCCCTCCCAAGTTTAAAACATTTTCAGACAGTATTACTTTAAATAAAGTTTTCTGTTCTTTATTCTCTCTCTCTCTGTCATCCTTTTTTAGGATTTCTATAATTTCCATATATATATATATGCATCCCATATGTCTCATATGTTCTTCACTTGTTTATTCTTTTTTCTTTTTATTTCTCTAAATTGCTAATTTCAAAATAACTGTCTTCAAGTTCACTAATTCTGCATAATTGAGTCTGCTGTTGAAGTTTTCTTTTGCATTTTTTGTTTTTGTCATTATATTCTTCAGTTACAGGATTTTGTCTGGTGCTTTATGATTTCTATTTCTTTATTGAGTCCATTTTGTTCCTGCATTATTTTTCTCATGTTATTTAGTTGTCTTTCTATGCTTTCTTGCATCTCATTAATGTATTTTTAAGTTTATTTATTTCTTTATTCTTTGAGAGAGGTGAGACAGAGAAAGTCCTCCACAACAGAGTCCTCCTGTCACCATCCCCCTGCCCTAGTCTCAACCAGATTGGAATGGGTGTGTGCCTGTCATGCTCAGAAAGTGCCCAGGACTTCTCCTGTGTGGGTCCAGTTGCATTGCTGCTATGACATGATTTGACTCATCCTTTTCTTTAAGATAGTTATTTTTAATTCTTTTCTAGGAAACTTGTATATCTCTATTTCTTGGGATTGATTGCTGAAGCTTATTGGTGGCATTGTTTTTATCTAATTCTTTTTTCTATATTTAGCCTTGCATTAATGTCCATGTATTTGGGATATCAAAGACTTCTTTGAGTACTTAAAGACTGGTTTGAACAGGTTAAAATCTTTACCTGGTAGATCCTTGGTCTAACATCATCTTTATGACCATGGTCAAATAAGGTTGAGAAAGTGATGCTGATGGGTCCACAGTGAAGTCCTCCATTCAAGGCCCAATTACTAAAGCATGTATCATCTCTTGTCCTGGAATGGGACTGAAGACTGCTTGGAATGTCTTCCAGAATCATGGTACATAGGGTTAGCACTGGGATGAGAGTCCACTTTAGAGCCTGTAGATGGTAGGCCATTTTACTATGTGTGAAAATTAATGTAGGTTTGTCTGGTTTCCTACGAAGGCTCTGCTGGATCACCAAATGAGGCCCTAGGAATATAGTCCTGCCCTGGTCTGTGGTTGACAGGAGTTGGAACTGAGTTGCAGTGCTTCTTCAGAAAACTTTCATGCTTGTTTCTCATGTGTGTATTTCTCCGCAGATCCCTGAGTGGGCAGTCTTACACCAGGCTGTAGTTGAGAGGGACTAGAATTGATTCACAGAATAATATATTTCAATATCTGCAGAGTGACCAAGATTAGCTGGTCAGCCTATAGAGGCACTGATGGGTCTGCCTCCTTCCAGAGGCATTTACTATTGCTGAGGGCGATGCAAGTAGGAAATTCCCTACTCTGCCACTTGCTGACATTACTTGCTAGGTGAGATTTTTTTTTTTTTAATTACCATTCTTTCCCTTGGTAGTGTGACTTGAAATTTCATTTACTACTGAATATTCCTTCCTATGGGCAGGACTGCTCTCAGGCCACAGCTGAGGAGGGCTGGAGTCACATTTCTGGGCTGTTTCAGGATTTGCTGTGGAACTTAGATTGATGTTCTGTCAGAGGCGACAGGGACCGGTATGCCTTCCCTCCAGGTCCGGGAGCAACCAAAACTCCTCTCAGTTTAATATTGAGAGGGGCTGAGGTCAAGACTCAGAGTTGTTTTGGGATCTGGGGTGGGACTGAGTGGTAAAAGGTGGAAGACAAGCAAGTCCTAGGAGTCCCCTGTAGAGAAGGCTTGATTTCAGGCCACAGTTAAAAGGAACCGGAGCTGAGATTCAGGGTGACCCCAGCATCTGCTGAGATACTGAGGTCTGTAAGCCTGCCCTGGGCACAATGGCTGTCTCACAACAGGTCTCCATGGATGCAGGACTGAACTCAGACTGCAGTTGGGGGGCTTCTAGCGCCAAGTTAAAGGACTCTTAAAAGGTCCACAGTTGAGACCCTGGTTGACAGGCCTGTCTCCTGAGACACTAGTGTGTGAATCTTCTCCTGCGCCACTTGGAAAATGATTTGAGTAGCAAGACAAAGCCCAAATGAGGGTGCAGCCAAGCCTGTAGGATGCTGAGACCATTTCCAGATCTGAAATCAGGACTGTGGTTGGCAAATTGACTACCTGAGTGCAGGTCCACTCTCTGAAAACACTGCTCCAGGGTCTTGGGCTCCACTGGGGTTTCGCAAAATTCTTCCTAAATCTCAAGACTCACACAGTCACTTTTATACATAGATGTCTGCAAAAGTATTGTTGCTGGGAGATGTGAGTATGGAACTTCTTTCTCTGCCATTTGCTGACATCACCTGGTAGGTGAGATTTTTTTTTCTCTTACTTTTGGAGAGATTTTTGCATTCACCAGAGAGACAGAGAGGCAGGAAGAGAGAAATCATCCCCTTAGGGGATGGCCATGCTACGATCCCTTCTCTTTCATTCTCCTATCAGGAGTTTGGACATTCATGCACATGCTCCCATTGTGAGTTTCAAGCAACTGGGTCTGGACCTCAAACCACAGTCAATAATGTAGGAATCCAGCACCTTAACCACAACGCCACCTGCTGCCCCCTAGATGATATTTTTAAAAATGATCTTTCTTGGAACCTGCAGATGGCATGATGGTTGTGTCACTGGACTCCTATATAGTTGACCAGATTTTGAATTCCAGACCTAGTGGTTTAAACTCTGACTGGGCCTGTGAGCGTGTGTGCATGTGTGCTCAAAATCCCAAGAAGAGAATGAAGGAGAAAGGACTGTGGCATGGTCATCCCTCTGGGGAATGATTTCTCGCTTTTCATCTCTTTCTCTTTAGCAAGCACACATGCCCTACTGCAAAAATCTTTCTCTTAAAAAAAAAATGATCTTTCTTGACTTGGAATTTTATTCACAGCTAAATATTCCTGTTAAAATACAGATAATTAGTCATGGTAAAGGATAAATAAATAAATATGATGACTAGCTAATTAATATTGTAATTTCTAGCATGACTATATACTTTGATATCTATGTTTTATCTTACCAAGATGTATTAATTTTTATCAAGGGAAACCTGAAGATTAAATCATTTGTTTAGGGACCAGCAGACAGCATAGTGGTTACATCACTGGACTCCCACATAGTGGACCATGGTTTGAGTCCCAGACCCTGTGATTTCAACTCACACCGGGCACGTGTGCATGCATTTCCAAAATCCCAGGAAGAGAATGAAGGAGAAGGAATCACAGCATGACCATTCTCCCGGGGGAAGGAGGTGATTTCTAGCTTTCTGTCTCTGTTTTTCTCTATCTCCCTGGCAAGCGCACTTGCCCTATAGCAAAAATCTCTCTTAAAAAAGTAATAATTTGTTTTAAAAATTAAACACAAGTGTTTAAGAACTAAGGAAGAAAAATTGAGAAGGTAAGTTTGGCACTGATGGCTTTTGTGCCAGTTATAATAAGTTGAAAATATAGTAACTTCTCAGAATAACTAGTGACAAATATCCATAAGTTTTAGAGCTCCTTTCATCATGTAGAAATGACATTATATGGATATGAGGAAAATAAGTTTATAATGTTAAGGATTATCAATCCAGTCTGAAAGTGGGTCCTAAATATCAAAGACACTAATAACAAGGCTTAAGTTGTAAATGTTTGTGTTTGAGGAAGTGCATAACTATTCCCCTTAGTGTCCTTTCCTTATTCATTTACTTTACACTCAGTGTAAAGTAAATTATATTCTTACCACCTCTTAATCAAACCACTTATATTCAAAGGGGGATAGGAATCATTCTAGGCAGGAAATACTTCCACTTTTTTTAAGTGTCCCTCTAATATAGCTAAAGGCCACTTATTTGCATTTCCCTCCTTGTGGATTATTTTATCACCTAAGGAAATGTATTCGATGAGTGCTGGAAGCTTCTTAAGTGGTTTAAAATTTCTTTTCATTCTTTGCAGTGGATCACTGGACATCCAAGACCATTTCACTTAGGAACAAGGAAACTTTTTTCAATTACGGTATAATTTGCAAAGTTGCACAATGTGTGCCGATGCAAGCATTTTCAGTATAAAAGAATAAATGTTTGCAAATATAAGGAAAAAATATAAAATATTTGTTTGTGATTGAGATGGAAACAAGTTAGCTACATGAATGGTCAAAACTTTATCCTCCCTTATTTTGTAGAAAATAATTTCTCAGAGGTACTGGATTGCCTAAGTAAGTGACACATTTAGTTTACTGTGTCCTTTCAGTAGAAGCCCAGTCTCCTGTATTCTGGACCTATGTAAGGAAATAACCTGATTTCAAAATAGCCCTTCTGTGAGAATTTCCTGTTCAAACCTTTTGTGACACAATGATGAGAAATCTACTTTTTCCACTCTTGACTCACTTAGTCTCCACAGGGCAGTCTGTGACGATCACAGTCATGATTTGTTCTTGACCTAGATTTGCATCTCAAAATTTCATTTTTTATTCCTCAGCTATCCCAGGCATTATGAGAATAACCTGGCCCCCCACTGAAGGATGCCCAGCTTTCTGGTGACAGAAGGTATGTGTCTCTGCTCTCTTGTCTCTCTACTAGCACCTCTCATGCTCAAAGTGATGCCACGAATGCAATAAAATTTAAGAGAACATTGATACATCTACTTTAACAATTCAAGGTTAAAACCTAAAATATAAAATATGTTTGACAATTTCATACAGTATTTTAATTATTGCCTGCAGAGAGCTAGTCAAGTGCATAAAAGCGTATTTGGGCTTGTTAATCAATGTAATGTAAAATGAAACCCATAAACATCATGAAAATAAATAATCAATTTGGATATGTTAATCAGTCCATCGTGTAGCTTTGGAGAACAATGTGGTCATTTGTTGAATGATGAAAGCAAAATAATTCCTCAATACTTATTTGGATGAAATAAGAGTAGTTTTTATTTTTAATAAAAATCAGAAGGATGTAGCTTATATAAAATGCTAAACTTAATTATAAACAACCAAAATAGTTTTTTTAATTAATTAAATATTACAAAAGGAAAAAAGTGTACCACAATAAAATGAGACTTTTGTCTAGTGATTTATTTTCCATGGTTTAAATGTCATGAGTCAGAAATAATTGTGACACAAATATAGCAATTGTGACTAAAGTAATAATCAAAATAGCTAACACTTATTGAGAACCATAATGTCAGGTTGAATAGTAAATGTTTTATATTTACCATGTTACCAAATGAGCGATTGATTTTACATGTTCTTATTCCCAGTTTGGATTAATAAACTAGGTCATTAGCCACTAGATAACTTTTTAAAGGTCACCCACTGAAAGTTTCAGAACCAAAATTAATTCTACATCTCACTGATTCCAGAGCCCATTGAATTAATTATTAAATTACATTACTCAAACTATTAGAATTACTTATACAACTAAAGCAACCTTCACTGACTCTGACAGCCATAGAGTTGTTCTGGAACTTTTAACCAAATGTCCTTCCATTAAAAAAAAAAAAAGCATCTTTCTACAATTTCATTTATAATACTATACTTTTATAATATAGCCATAAAATCAACTATCAATATTTCTATAAAAATAAGTATCTTAAACATTTTGTGGTGTTTCTAATATAGTTTAGATTATACATAAATCTATTGTGTAGTGTAATATTTTCCCACATATCACACATCTTTACATTTTTAATGATTTCTCAGAAGTTTTCATTCACTTATAAAAAAGACTATTTAATAACCCCAATTCATTTTAATAAATAAATGTTAGCTACTAACTAAAAGTAATTTAGTGCATGGAATTAATATATATGTTAATATGTTCATGCCTCATGTTTAGATCAGTCTTTACACTGATTGGATTTCAAAATTATAAAAATCGATGCACATTTTCTCTAATAGAGCCTTTTAATTTTTAATACAGGCATTCTAACAATATGGAAATATTTTTGTGGAATCAGTTTTACAATGAATTAATAAATTTTTATTTATGGACTTCTTTTCTTACTAATTTAATACCTTTCATTGTCCAGCAATAAAATTTTGTCGAATCTTTAAATAAATTATCTTTTTACCATGAGTCGTTTGTCTAAATCTTAGGAAATTAAAGCAAGAACTTTAGATTCATCTACTGTCACATGAGCACTGATACTTGGTCTCACTCACTGGTTTGACCTGCGCTACAGATGTTGTTACCTAAACCATTTACGAACCTCAGGCCAGTTAGCACAGCCTAGACCTTGAAATGCCACAGCAGCAGAGATGAATAACCAAAGAGCAATCTACTCAGAACTGAAACTGGCCAGCAACCCAAGGAGACAGCCAAGGAAACCTAAGGAAACTAAAAGCTCCATTTCAGTAACTGAACAGGAAATAACCTATGCAGAATTAATCCTTCAAAATGCTCCTCAGAATTTTCAAAGGAATGATAAAACCAACTACTGCAAAGGTAAAACATTTCATAGATCGTCAATGCAATTGCTCTAGAACTTGCTGTAGTGGTATAGAGGTGTAGAAGAGCAGAGAGTGCTTCTGTGTTTTTCATTTGTAAGGATAAGAGCTCTTAGTTCAGATCTGCTATTCTAACATAAAGTCTTAACACTATATTTTTATTTGGGAATTATTTAAAGGCATAGTCTTTGTCTAGAAGTTCAAGAAGAATTATAATTTCTGGAAATGCATTGTTGTATTCTGAGAAAATGATTGCAATTGTAGATGTGGATTTGGGATCTGGGTTTACCTACATGGTAACCTGTGCATGTAGCTTCTCTTGCTTGTAGACCTTGGAAACAACTGTGTCTGTCCTTTCTCAGTGTTTCCCTTTCTCTCCCTGCAGATATACTATATCTTCCAGAGAAGCTCATTGCTGGGATCCTGGGAATTGTCTGCTTTATCTTAGTGGTCACTGTGGTAACGGTAGTTCTTACTCCCTGTAAGTGTATATTAGAAGATTATTAAAAGGGAACTTTCCCCTCCAATGATCTCAAGTGCCTGTTGCCTGTAAACATTTGATACCAGAGAACAGAATTCTCATTTTAAGGTATATATTTGGACCCAATGTGGAAGAATTATTCTGAATTTTTCAAAAGTATAAGAGAATGTAGAGAGTATCATTTCAATTATGTACATATATTCTAACTCTATAGCTCAAAGATGTTTTAGGAAACTGAAAAGTCTCATGTTAGAAAGAAATTACTTTTCTATTATTCTTATCTGTTTACATTTAATCACATATATCTTTACAGTGTACAACATTTCTTTTTCCTTAACGAATGCCATGCGTATCAGTCAAGACAAAGATATCACTATATACATTATCATCATCAATAGCTTCTCATGTTCTTGTCAATTAAAAGTATTTTTACTTTTTTTCTTCCTCATCTCCTACCTCCCTTCCATACTAAACTTTTTTCACATTTTTTTGGTTTACAAAAGATATTAATTAAATAAAAATATGGGCAAAGCTAAAATCTAGTGACAAGTGCATTGTAATTTTCTTCTCAAACATTTTTTTTCCTCTGTCCATTCCCCCTTTTACTAAGAAAAGGTATAAACAAACTTATTTCTAAAAAAATAAATAAGTTTAAGTCTTGATTTGATCTGTTATTTGCACAAAGTCCCATAAGAATTTAATTTCTGGAGCACGGCAATGGATACTATTGTATTATTGAACTAATGCAAATAACCATTCTGCCACAGAAAAAGAATGTGCACAAATATTTTCCTATTACAAAAGAGTCAGGAAGGGAGAAAAATTTACGTTTCAATTTTAAAAAAATGAACAAATTGCTGAACTTATGAACAACTCAAAAGAAAACAAAAATCCTTAAATCTGGAAGACAAAGGATGGAAGAAAATCAGTAATGTTTTAGTCAAAAGTCATAGAATTCTATTTTACCAGTTCAGTCTCATGTAACTAATCTCTCCTTTGTTGAATTTGCGGTATTACTGTTGTCTGATCTTTCCATTTAAATGCTGGAAGTTAACATTCAACACTATTATTAATATTTCCGGACTTGTCCCTACCATTAAGTTGGCCATTATCTTGGTTGTTTTTCTCTTCTTTCTATCTTTAGTTTTCCTGGTATAGCACTCCTTTCAGAACTTCTTGAAGAGCTGGTCTGGTGTTCGTTAATTCTTTTAGGTTTTGTTTATCTGAGAATGAGTCAGGTTTTTCTTCCCCTATGAAGGATAATCTTGCCAGATATAGTATTCTGGGTTGAAATTGTTTTTCACTTAACACTTTGAATATATTTCCCATTCTTCCTTGCTTGCATTGTTTCTGATGAGAGGTCCAATGTTAGCCTGATGGGATATCCTTTCAAAGTAACTTGACATTTCTCTCTTGTCAATTTTAGCATCTTGTCTCTGTCTGGTTTTGGTCAATCTGGCTATAAGGTGTCTTGGAGAAGATCTTCTTGGGTTGATTCTATATGGAGTCCTTTGTATTTCGTGGGTCTGGATATTTGAATGCCTCTCTAGTTTTGGAAAGTTTTCTTGCAGGATTTCATGGAATAGAGTATCACTACCCTGATTAGTTTCTTCACTTTCTGGGATACTGATTATCTGGATGTTTGAGCGTCTAATGGTATCTAGTATTACTCTTATATTATTCTCATTTTTTAGGTTATTTTCTCTATCTTTTTGGTGAATTTTTCTAGGTCAGAGGTTCTATCTTCTACATCTGAGATTCTATTTTCTGCATGATCTAATTTGCTTTTAATACTTTCAAGGGAGGTTTTGATATCCTGTATTACAGCCATAATCTCTAACATTTTCATTTGATTCCTTTTTATGGTGTGCATTTTCTCTCTCAAATTGTGCAAGAACTTCCTTAATTTCTGAAATTCATTGTCTCTTTTCTCCTGCATCATCTGGAGTTCATTGTCTCTCCTCTCTTGTATCTCTGTTACCTTTGCCACAATGAGTATTTTAAATTATTTATCTGACATTTCCACAAATTCCATTATATTTTCTGTGGATGATGAAGGGCTGTTCTTTTCCTTGGAGGAGAGAGATTTTCTTGTTTTTTGTTTGTTTTGTTTTGTTTTGTATTTCTTGTGCCTCTATAGTGGTTTCTGGTCATCTAGTGGATTATACATATCTTCCTACTTTTTGGAGTTAATTCTGAGTATTAGAGATGTATGGGAGATGACCCACATTTTCTCTGCAGTTCTGTTTTCCTGATGCTCACCAAGCGAACTGTGCTTTGTTGATGGAACTGGATATTACAAAGCCATCTCAGTTTCCAAAGAACAGGTGTGCCTGGGCTGAGCTGCAGGGTTTCAACAGAGAATTCAGAGGCATGTGGGAGGAGCGAGCATGAGCTGAGAGCTCTCTGCAATTCAGTCTCCCTACTGCTCACTTTGCAATCTCTCTTCTCTGATTTTTAGTTACTTGGTAGTATATACATATTTGGCTAATTTGTTGGAGGTTTCTGCAACTATAAGTTAGTATGCTTCACTCTATCATGAGGTACTTCTCTGCTATTCTCCTCTACCACTGTGTTTTGCAACGTGGTATCCACAAAAAGAGATTTGAATTCAGATTTATGAAGATGAGTTTCTCCCTTTCTGTAGCAGTTTGTTTGGGGGGGGGTGTTTTCTATGACCCTAAAAGTATTCAGTTATTTGGCTACTGTGCACCTAGACCTGTCTAAAAACTCAGTGTGTGGAAGCTCACTCATTGGGGGTTGGGTTGGAAGGCAAGAAATTACTTTTTAAAAGTGATCAATACTTAGAAGGTGGCAAAGTTTGTTTCATATGACTTTTGAAGAATTTTTAAGTAAAACTTTCATAACTTTAAACTTGCTTGATAAAACTAAATTTATTACAGATGACTGGTTAGCAAAAGTGTACACCAAATTTAAAACTAAACTAAAATTATATGACTTACTTAGATATTGATATTTTATAAGGATTACTTTAATTTTTTTAGCTACTGTAATACTGGAGCAGAGCAATTCTTCTGTAATATCAATAATCCAGAAAGGTACGTCATGATTTTCAAAGTCTAAATATTAGCAAAGTTGATATTTTGTCTCTTTTGAAAAACTGCACTGAAATTATAATAGATTTTTAGAGTAATGGACATGATTAGGTAATTAATGTTCATAAATAATTGTAGAGAGATTTTTGCTATAGGGTGTATGCAATTCCCAGAGAGAAAGAGACAGAAATTGGGAAATCATCCTCCCTACTCTGAGGAAATAGCCAAGCTGTAATCCCTTCCCTCCATTCTCTTCTCGGGACTTGGGCATACATGCACATGCACCTGGCATGAGTTCTAAGCCACTGGGTCCAGGTCTTGAACTGCATTCAAGTATGTGGGAGTCCAGCAATGTAAGAATTACATCATCTACTGGTCCCTCATAAACAAATATTAAAGGAAGACATTCCTTTCCATCCAAAAATAACTTAAAAACTTTAAAATCAGGGTATCCACTTGGTGACATTTGGCTCAGATTTTCTACTGCCATAATATAATCACAGATAAATTATTTTTCCTTTTTTTTTTTTGGAGAGGTTTTTGCTATAGGGCGCGTGCACTCGTCAGACAGACTGAGAGAGACAGAGAGGTAGAAAGTGAGAAATCACCCCCCGGGGGGATGGACACGACACAATCCCTTCTCCATTCTCCTCTCGGGATCTTGGGCACGCACGCACACGCGCCTGGCGTGAGTTTTAAGCCACCGGGTCTGGGACGCAAACCGTGGTCGACTACGTGGGAGTCCATCAACATAGCCATTACGCTAACTGCTGGTCACAATTATTTTACTCTTAAGTAACATTTTTGTTCAGTAATTTTCAACAGGTGTAGGATATGTTTTAGTTTATTTGGTGACATATTTAAAAGATGAGCGTTAGAGTCTGACCATTTTCTGTGCTTGTGTGTATCAGAGAGTGGGTTTCGCTTGATAGGTACCAACCTCTGAGGTTACTTAGATATGTACATATGTGTCTATAAGTATGCACATATATAAACTAATATTCATTTTTAAAAATCCATATTGCTTCTGTTAGTAATGAATACTCTTTCCTCAGCATATCACTGCAGTGGTTGTCCAAAGGACTGGTTAACATATTCCAACAGTTGTTATTACATTTCTGTGGAAAAGAAAACTTGGAATGAGAGTTTGGGAGCCTGCGCTTCTAAGAACTCTAATCTGCTTTATATAGATAGTGAAGAAGAAAAGGTAAGACTATAAATGTTTCAATGGTTTTATTAATAGCTTATTTCAGTGAATATTTTATTTGTAGAATTTATCCATATTTTTGGTAGGTACTTCATAGGTACTTTGTAGGTTTATTGTCAAATCAGTAGATTCCATATTTGACTTTACAATGTTTAGTTTGTATATGTATGAGCTAGTGCACATTTAGTTATTTCCAGTCTTGCTTTTCTTGGAAACAAGGTACTCTTTCTTTTTCCTAAAATAAACTCTGCTACATTGTTTTAATGTGCATAAAGAAAGCCAACCATATCTGCTTGTGCAGATTGATCTCAAAGGGAATAAACTAATGAGTCTGAGAGTCAGATCACAAATACAAGTTTCCAGCCTCCAGCAGCCCCAGACTCGTGTGTGCTCTCCTCACTTCTTCCTCCTCCTCTAATCACAACCCTGGATTTAATATTGTAACTAAGCCTTGGGTCAGCACATGGGGAGTGGTTAAGGTGCTGGACTCCCATGTGGTCGACAGCACTTTGAGTCCCAACCTGGTTGCTCGAAACATGTATGTGTCTGCGTGCCTAAAATCCAGAGAGGAGGATGAGGTGAAGGGATCACAGTGTGACCATTCGCCCGGGGGGAGGGGAGGTGATTTCTCACTTTCTGTCTCTCTGTCTCTTTCACATTCCCTATATCAAAAATCGCTCAAAAATGATACTATAAATAAGCCTTGACCGTTTCTGAACCCTGTATCACCAATTCATGCCATAGGTATTTCTAGGACAGTCTCCTTTTACTCCCATATATTTGTGCTGTTCATCTGCTTCATTGCACTTTGCTGTAGCTGATTTTCACTGCTGTATTATGTGACTGCAACATTTGAATAACCATCTTACCCTGTGTCTCTGGTGGGGAAACTGTGTCTTCTGCCCCTAGGGACAAATAGACTTCCTGGGTGGAGCACCTGTGGTCTTGGGGTTCCTTGTCTGATCCCCACATTCATGTCCCCCAAGGGGGTCTCTTGGAGGATGGAGAAGCACATCCTCTTGCTATTTCCCCTTAGCATCTCTCCTGATACATGACGGCTGCCAGTGATACCCGCCATGCCTGGGGGAGCTGACAGGACTCCCTTTCAATACAGGGAAGTGGGGAGTGTCCCTGAGCCACTTCTTATTGCTAGTTTGGGTGCAGAGAACAACAGGCCTAAGTTACTTTCTTCTGTTGGGGAAGAAAGAGACTCACTCAGGCACTGTCTACCCATAAACATGGGATCCCAAACCATTCACCTTACTTTTCCCTGCTTTAGGCTTTGGGATTGCTCCTTTGCTTGTGTTTTTTTTTAATCAGTTCCAGGGTCACAGTTGCATTAAGTGAGAGTCCTGGGTCTGTGTCACCCCTGCAGGGTCATTTGTATTCCACCAATGCAGAAGCAATAAATTGCGGCTTATCTGCTTTCAGAAGAGTGTGGAGCCCAGAAAACTAAATATTTGGTTTCTATGTCATTTATTTCTTGAATGGGAACCCCTTAATTTACTTCCAAACTCCAAAATCTGAAAAAATAGCCAAAAAATATATTGATGTTGCCACAGTATCTGTAGAAATGAAAGTCCAGTATATGGAAACTTAATCAAATCCTTACCATGTTTTTTTGGTCAGCATGAGCAACCAGTAAATTACATGAATCACAGTTTTCCTTATTATCATAAGAATTTTCAAAGTACAAATACATAAGAGTTCATCTGAAATAAAAATTACAAACGTGTATGCAAAAAGTGAATTTCAGCTTTAATATAATGTTTTATTTATTATGGAATCTATAGATTATAGAGTCGAGTTTAATAGATTCTTTCAGAAATTGGGGCTCCTATGAATGAATGCACTGCTTACCTTTTAAAATATATTAAAAGCTTTCATAATGATCATTTAAATAAAAATTAATTACTTTTTGTAGGAATTGCTGGGGTCCTTAATGCCTGCATCATGGATTGGAGTTTTTCGTGAGAGCAAGGATCATCCCTGGTTATTGACAAATGGCTCACCCTTCAAACTCAAGTATGTTTCTTTGAATGATGCTATATATGGGAAGAAAATACGAAAGAAAGAAAAATTCAGAGCACTCTATTAGCAAGTTTAAGTTGAAGAAAGATGTAGAAGTAGTGAAATGTTAATATTAATACCAAACAAAAGACTACTCAATTTTGATAATAACCAATTCTTAGGGAAATTATAGAAAATAGTCATATATTTCCTTAATTTTAAATTATATGGGAAAATTATTATTTCTTGGATAATCTTCTTAAATATAACAGAATTGTCCCTTTTTCTCCACTACAGGATAATGGAATCACCTGGTGCACATAACTGTGCCATGCTCTCCTTCACAGATCTTCTATCATCTACTTGTGAACTTACACACACCTACAGCTGTAAGCATGAGCTTCAGAAATAATACATGTACATTTGGAATGTCAGGCAATGCTATTGATCATAGAAATAGGGATGTGATTGTGTAAGTCTGAAAATAAAGTATATTATTAAATTTATTTTCAAAAAGCTATTGAAGTATGGGAACCAGCAGTTAGCGTAATGGCTATGTCGCTGGACTCCCACGTAGTCGACCGCGGTTCGCGTCCCGGACCTCGTGGCTTAAAACTCACGCCAGGCGCGTGTGCGTGCGTGCCCAGGATCCCGAGAGGAGAATGGAGGAGAAGGGATTGCAGCGTGACCATCCCCCCTGGGGGGTGATTTCTCGCTTTCTGACTCTAATGTCTCTCTCTGTCTGTCTGGCAAGCGCACACGCCCTATAGTGAAAATCTCTCCAAAAAAAAAAAAGCTATTGAAGTATAATAGACTCCAAAAACTACAGATATTAGTTCTGTGTCTGGCAGTTTTTTCTCAACATTATACGTGTGGCATTCCACCTTTACAGAAGTTTGCATGTCACATGATTTAGTTTCTATAAATGATCAAGAAGAGGCAAACTCACAGGGACAGAAAGGGGATTAGTGGTTTCCTATGGCTGTGGGGAGGTTAATAGTGACTACTAACAGGTGCAGTGTTTCATTCGGAGTGATGGAACTTTCCTAAGTCTTGAAAGTTTGGTATTGTAACACTGTTACCACCTTAAAAATCACTGATTTATACACTTTAAATAGATATAATTTATACTTGTACATCACACTTCAATAAACTATTAAGAAATAAACTCTGCTGAGATTATGTTTAGGACTGCATTAAATCATTTAAATAATTTTAAAACTTGGTTATTTTTATAATTTTGACTTCTATTGAATAACTATGGCTTTCAATGTATTGTTTTTTTAAAAGTCCAGTCTGATTTTGTATATTTTAGTATTGAAGTTTTACAGAAATACAGGTATTCCCACACACACATATACAATTTTTTAAGAGGTTTTTGCTATAGGAAGTGTGTGCTCACCAGAAAGACAGAGAAAGACAGAGAGACACTAAGCGAGAAATCATCCCCCAGGGGGGATGGTCATGCCCAGAGACCTTCAACCTATGGGATCTGATGCTCTGTCCTGGTAGTGTCTGCTGCAGAATTGTTTGTTTGCTACATGTGTGCCAAAAAAAAATAAACCTCTACATTTGGTAGTGTAAACAGGGCATACTGTTTTGTACTTATTTTTTTAAGTAGGAGGAGTAACTCTGAAAGAATCATAAAAAAGTATGGTATGGTAAATTCACAATTCACAACTAGTAATAAATCACTTATTGTCAACTAGGATGTGCTGTACATAATTATGCCTGCTGTATACATTGGACGACCTGCAGCACAGTGGGCTTGTCTGCACCAGCGTTCCCACACACACATTAATAATGCACTATATTAAAACTCTATGATAGCTGTGATATCAGTAGTCCACAGGAATGCTTCAGCTCCATTATCATCTTTCTTTACAGTTTATTCATTTTTTCCATGAGAGAGACAGAGAGAGGCAGGCATCCTCCAACAGATTCTTCATACCATATCTACCTCCAGCATCAGCCAGAACACATACCCATGTGCCTGGCATGTAGACTATAGTTGTGGGGTGTAACCCAGGACCTTCTCCTATGGGGAACCTTTGCAGAGTGTTGTGCTCTGCTGCACCAACTGGCCCTCCATTAGAGTAAACAGAGACTACCTTTGTATGTGCGGTCTGCCGTTGACTGAAAAGTCCTTATTTGGCACACAACTATATTTTGGTCTTTATCCGTAAGTGAAAGAAGTGCCTTGTTGGGACAGAAAATGGTCATTTTAAAATATAGCCATGGGTTTAGGACCAGCAGATGGGGTAATGGTTACGTCGCTGGACTCCCACATGGTTGACTGTGGTTCAGGTCCCGGACCCAAACCTTAAAATGCCAGGTGAATGTACACACAAGCCCAAAATCCCAAGAAGAAAACAGAGAAGGGATTGTGACATGGTCATTCCTCTAGGGAGATGATTTCTCACTTTCCGTCTCCCTCTCTCTTTGTCTCTCTGGCAAGTGAATGTGTCCTATAGTAAAAATATCTCTAGGGAACCAGCAGTTAGCGTAATGGCTATGTCGCTGGATTCCCACGTAGTCGACCGCGGTTCGTGTCCCGGACCCAGTGGCTTAAAACTCACGCCGGGCGCGTGTGCGTGCGTGCCCAAGATCCCGAGAAGAGAATGGAGGAGAAGGGATTGCGGCGCGACCATCCCCCCTGGGGGGTGATTTCACGCTTTCTGTCTCTATGTCTCTCTCTGTCTGTCTGGCGAGCGCACGCACCCTACAGTGAAAATCTCTCCAAAAAAAAATAATAATATCTCTTAAAAAATATAAATATATAGTCTTGGATTTAAATCATAATTTTTCTATTTATAAAAAATTATTGAATTGTTCAGCATCATATGATTTTTATATTTTTGTTTGTAAGTAAATATATAAATAAAATGTCATTAAAATAAAATTGTCATTTAATTTGTATTAAATATTACCAAATTTTGAGCTCTTTTTCTTCATTTTCTTATGTTTTCACATTAAATGGGTTTATTGTTCACTTTCCACTCTATGAACATGTTAATTTTATAATCTTTGAATTTTTTTTTAGTTATTGCCCTGCATTTGCAGCACACATTCTGTTCACTAAAGTCAAACAAATGGCTTGACAAGGAGGAGATTTAACTACCCATTCCATATATGCATGCTGTGTCTTTCCAAAATTCTTGTTGAAACTCAGTCCCCGTTGTGGCTGTATTAAGAGATGAGTCTTTTGGGAAGTGATTTGTCCTGAAGGTTCTGCTGAAATGAATGGATTAGTGTCTCATAAAGGGCTAAAGCCTTGAGCCCTTTAGTCCTTCTACCTTCTGTTATGTGAGGACACACCACAAAGTGCCATCGTGGAAGAGGGAAAGAAAAGAACAGCTCTGCCCAGACTAGAGACCTCATGGCTTCTTGATTTTGGATTTTCTACCTCCAGAACTGAGAAATAAATTTATAATGTTTATTATTGTGTTAATCTGTGGTATTTTGTTATTACAGTACAAATGGTCTAGAGCAACCTTAATTTACTGCTTAGGCAGAATTTTCTTACTTGATTCTAATATGAATAAACATTTTTAAAATCGAGGGCCAGCCCCATAGGCAATGATAGCAGTTTGAATCCTAACCTGAGTGGCTTGGAAAACACAGTGGAAGGCCAGCCAATGGGATGGTGGTTAAAGTGGGTGGCTTCAACACAGTCAAACACATGGTTCGATTCCCAGACCCAATGACTTGGGAAACATGCTGGGTATGTGTGTCCAATTTTTCTTGAGGAAAAAAGATAAATGATTGTGGCCATACCTCTGTAAGGGTGCTTTCTCATTTTACCTCTCATTCTGTCTGTGTGTCTTTCTCTCTCTGGCAAATGTCCATACCCTCTGACAAATTAAAGGAAAAGAAGAGAACATAGAAAAGAAAAGAACACTAAGCATGTGTGTGTGTGTGTGTGTGTATGTGTGTGTGTGTACTTTGAATTCCAAAAGGATAGAGAAATAGATAAGAAGGAATTGGAGTGTGACCATGTCCCATTGGGGAATGCTTTTTCCTCTCTGTCTCTTTGTCTCTTTCTCTGTCTCTCTAGTGAGCACACATGCTCTTTGACAATTAAAGAGAGGCTTTTTTATATTTTATTTACTAAATATTTATTTACTTATATATACATAAATTATTTTCATCAACTATTCTTTCCATTTTCATATTCAAGTTTTCAACTGAAATAAGGTGTTTTTTTAAAGGATTATTTCAGGTAATAGCAGATGATGTAAAGGTTACATCACTTGATTTCCATGTAGTCAGTTGTGGTTCAAGTCCTGAATCTAGTGGCTTGAAACTCATGCTAAGTGTGTGTATGTGCATGCCCAAAATCCCAAGAGGAGAGTAGAGGAAAAGGGACTGTGGCAGGGTAATTTCTCATTTTATGTCTCTCTGTCTCTCCAGTGAGTACACATGTCTTATAACTAAGTAGCTCTATTAAATTTTTTTTTATAATTATAATTATTTTTAATTTGAACATAATGAGATACAGAGAGAGGGAAAGTGAGAAAGCGTCACCAGGTTCTGGACTAAACCATATTCAGTCATATGGGAGTCCAGCACCTTAACCATCATGCCACTTACTGCCCCCTAAATTAAGTTTTTTATCTTTAGAGAATCCCTAATATTTCCTTAACTAAAGCAAGTTGATAACTACTTCTTTTCATTTTTAAAAGATTCTTGAAAATATATTTGTTTGCCTTTATATGAAAGAACAATTTCACTTGTTATTAACTTTTTTTTAAAGAATTATTTTATTTTATTTATTCATTCATTTATTTTCATTTGGCCAGAGAGAGACACAGAAAGTGAGAGAGAGGGGAAGTGAGAAAGCAAGCCACCAGGTCCGTAACTCAAACCGTGGTTGGTCATGTGGGAATATCCAGCACCTTAACCACCACGCCACCTGCTGGTCCCAACTTGTTATTAACTTCTATATTCATCATTCTTAATACAAAATAAATTTATTCCTAACAAGTATAAGTATATACTTATACATGAATATTTAAATAATGTAGTATATGAAAATAAAGTATAATTCTAGAAGGCATTGCATAACCAGACAAAATCAGCAATTGCTGAAGAATCAAAAGTTAATCCAGATGCAAATTCAAAAATTTGCATTTAAACTGAATCGTTCTATATTTTGCAAAGATAAATATGTGGATTTGCTTGAACTTAGTCTTAGAAACTATGAGGAAGTGAAGTGAACATCCTTAGGAATAACCAGCAGGTGGCATAGTGGTTAAGGTGCTAGACACTCCCACATGGTTAATCATGGTTTGAGTCCTGGACCTGGTGGCTTGTTTTCTCACTTTCTCTCTCACTCTCTCTGTGTCTCTCTGGTCAAATTAAAATTAATTATATTTTTTAGAAAGAAATAACAGGCAGCTATCGCCCACCCTTTCCCTTGATACAAGATAAGAAACTAAGAACAGAATTCTATTTGAAATAAACCAGATAACAGACATTTGAAGTTTTGTGTTATTTGATGCTCATATGTCTTTTTACTTCCAATATAAAGGTCTAGTTTTTTTGACCTCCTCATTTACTCATTAACTAAGATATTTTATAAGTTAATTTTCTTCTACTTACATTGACTTGGGCTTTTGGTTTTCATAGCAAATATTACTTTAAAAAGAAGTCAAATAGTCATGACTGAATTGAATCAGGTAATTACATAATGAGAAGTGATTTGATATTTCAATCTGTGGCATGGTGATAAAGTTCAACATATTTAATATTTTTATTTTTTCCAGACCCATTTATTTTTATCAGATGAATCTGAATAACTGATTTTCAAAAAATAAACTTGAATCAAGGATTTTTAAGAAAGAGGTAGAGAAATTAAGAAGATATGTTTGGGAATGGACAGTGATTGTGCTAGCTGGAATAAAGTTGAAGATTAGTTCCTCAGAATAATTAGCAAAAAAAATCATTAAATATTTATTAGATAATAGAAATAAGATTTTATTTTTTGCCATCATGATAGAAATGTGTAAAAAGGATATAGAAAAAGAAGTACACAATGCTAAGGATTAGCAATCTTGTATAAAATAGAACATGGGGACCAGCAGATGATGTAATGGTTTTGGCACTTGACTCCCACTTAGCGGACCGCGGTTTGAGTTCTGGACCTGGTGGCTTAAAATATGCCTGGCAGGGGGACCAGCAGTTGACGTGATGACTGTGTCACTGGATTTCCGTATAGTCGACCATGGTTCGAGTCCTGGATCCAGTAGCTTAAACTCACGTCAGGCGGGTGTGCATGCACGCCCAAGATCCTGAGAAGAGAATGGAGGGGAAGGGATTGCAGCATGGCCATCCCCGGAGGGGGCGGGGGGCGGTGATTTCTCGCTTTCTGTCTCTCTGTGTATCTCAGTTTTTCTGGTGAGTGCATGTGCCCTATAGCAAAATAACTCAAAAAAACTAAAAAAAACCCCCGCATCTCCCAAAACCCTAGAGAAGAGTGGAGAAGAAGGGATTGTGGTGTGGCCATCCTCACTGGAGTAAGTAGGGTGATTTCTCACTTTCTGTCTCTTTCTGGTGAGCACGTGTGCCCTATAGCAAGAAAATCTCTCTTTAAAATAAAATAGAACTTTAACATCTAAAAAACTCAAGGTTTGAGTTTCTGGCATTTATCTTGAGATGGAAACAAGTCAACTACATAGATAGTAAAGTTTCTACACCCTCCTTGTCTTGTAGTAAATGTAGACAATTTTTCAGAGTCACTTGAATATGGACAAATTGATACACTAGTTGTTGGAAGTCTTTTTCACATTCTAGAGGCCTGTGATGAGATAAACTTTCTTCAAATTAGCCAAGTGTGAGAATTTCCTGTTTAAACTGTAAGTGTCACACATATAAGAATGCTAATTTTTTCTTTTACTCTGGTCTCATTCTGACCCTTCACTGGGCAGTCTGTGAAGATCACAGGGAATTTCTGATACTTGAGAGAGGAGACTGGCCTTGCTACTAAAAGCTACATGACTTTATGGTAAATGAAGGTATGTGTTGCTGCTCTTTGATTCTCTGCCTACCTTATTCAGAGTAAAGTTACAATACTAGATGCTGTGCAAGTGAGGTAGAACTAGTATACAACAAGCAAAATAGAACACTAGTTTATTTATTTGAATAATTTGGGGAATAAAAGAAGCCTAAAATAGGTGATATGTTTCAGGATTTCTTAAGAGTTTTCATTTTTATTCTTTATTCTTAAATTATTGCCTGTGGAGAATTAGTCAAATGCACAAAAATATGATGTTTAACTTTGTTTATCAATATATTTTAAAGTAAAACCCAGAAACACCAGGTTAATGAAGAACTATAATCTCATTTTGTAATCAGTTCAGGTGTAATAATACCTTTAGCTTAGCCTTTAAAAATAGATTTTTTTTTATAATGAGTGTATCGAATCATGGAAGTCAAATCTAATTCTTCACAAACTCACGTCGATTATATAAAAGTAGTTTTTATTTTTAACAAAGACAAGTGACTTCTATAAAATGTAATCTTAAGTATATACAATTGAAAGATATAAAAAGAACTGAGACAACATTTTTTAAAAGATGCGTCAAAATGATACGAGATGCATACTTTATTAATTATTTCATATAATTCTAATATGAATTAGAAATAGTAAAATGCTTATAGTGTTAACAGTAATTAAAATAGTTAATATTTATTGTCGATTTTCAACTGCTATTTTGTGTATTTTTATACACGATATTTTATAAAATATTATTCCTGTTCTAGATTAATAAACTTGGTTATTAGTTACTAAGTAACTTTTTTAAGGAGGCTTATTTTAAGTTTCACAGTCATAATTCTAAATCTCACAGACTGCAGAGTTGACTGAATTATTAAATGATATTAACTGAATTATTACAAGTATATGACTAAAGTGACCCTCATTGACTTTAACAACAATAGGACCTTTTGAAACTAAGTTAGCAGTGTGTTCCCATAGATAGTCTACTCTCACTTATCATTTGATGATTTCATGTTTTAGCCATTAAATCAATTGTCAACTACTTCTGTAAAATGTTTCTAAAATCTTTTTTGTTTGTTTTTGAAGAACCTCCACACTGTTTTCCATAAAAACTGTACTAATTTATATTCCCCTAAAGTGCCAGAGAGTTCCTCTTTCTCCACAACAGTGTTCACACTTTTTATTCTTTTTGTGCTTGTTTGTTGGTTGGTTGGTTTTTAGAATAGCCATTCTAATGGTAGTCAGGTGTATTGATATCTCATTGTAAGTATCAATTAATATTTTCCTGGTGATTAGTGATATCTAATATTTTTTCATGTTCTCGTTGTCCTTTATACATTTTTTTTGAGAGGGTTTTTTTTCCATTTTTTTTTGAGTGGTTTTTTTTTTTTTTTTTTTTTTTTTTTTTTTTTGCTATAGTGCGCCTGTGCTCGGCAGACAGACAGAGAGAGACAGAGAGACAGAAAGTGAGAAATCATCCCCCAGGGGGGGTGGCCATGCCACAATCCCTTCTCCTCCATTCCCCTCTCAGGATCTTGGGCATGCATGCACACGTGCCCAGCGTGAGTTTAAGCCACCAGGTCCGGGACTCCAACCGCAGTCGGCTACGGGGGAATCCAGAGACAGAGCCATTATGCTAACTGCTGGTCCCTACATCTTCTTTTGAGAAAAGTGTCTATTCTGCTCAAGTGCCCATTTTTTAATCAGACTATTTGTTTTTTTGTTTGTGAGCTGATTGCATTCCTTGTATATTTTGGTTACTAATCCCTTCTCCGTGTATAACGGGAATCTGCTCTCCCTTCTGCTGATAGTCTCTTTACTCTGTTCATTTTCTCTTCTGTACAGAAAGCTTTTAGTTTAATATAATCTCTCTCCTGTGTTTTTTCTTTAGTTGTCTATGCTTTTGAGGCAATATTTTAAAAACTCCTTGCCTACATCAATGTCCGGAAGCATTTTCTCTGTTTTCTTCCAGAAATTTTAGGGCTTCAGGTCTTATGTTTAAGTCTACATTTTCATTTCATTTTTTAAAAATATTACCTGAGGGCATGTGTGTGCCCAGGGACAGATGGAGAGACATGAAGAAGAGAGAGAAAGAGAGAAAAAGCACCCCAGGATGAAGTGTGGTAAGATGATAATTCCTTCTCCTCCTTTTCTCTATCCTGTTGGGATTTTGGTCATGTATACACATATGCCCCGCAGGTTTTACAAGCCAATGGAGCTGGGATGCAAAATACAATTATCAATATGGGATCTGGCTCCCTGAACCATTAGACTAGAGAGCTAGATCTCGAGTTAATTTGTGTACCTGGTAAATGGTAGGTATTTAGTTTTCTTTTACTGCATATGGTTATCCAGTTGTTGCAGCATCATTTATTGAAGAAAATGTCCTTTCCCCACTGGAATCAATCTAGATGCCAGAAAAATGTATTATATATACATAACAGCAGTCATTTGAGGAAACGTGGGTGACCTTGCAGGAAATAGTGCTAAGTGACATAAGCCAGGCACTGAAGGACTGCCTTATGTTCTTACTTACTAGTGAAAGCTAAAACCTTCAGTTGCATGAAGGTGGAGTACATTCCAGAAATAGGAAGGGGAAGGGCCTTGGGTGAATAGAGAGAACATGGTTGACGTGTACAAAAGTGAAGGTGGACATGTGGGACAAGTTTGGAATACAATACTGCACTAGTCTAATATTCCTAACCATTCAGTGTATTCTTTCAGAGAGTCAGACAAGTAGATTTTGAATGTATATACACAACACTGAGTGGTAATGAGTGCACAAGATGGTAGATATCATTATTGCCATGATCGAATAAGGCACAATAGAAATATTTTTCGAAAAACTGCACTGTATTTCATGAATATGTACAAATATTTCATGCAAGTTAAGAATTATAATATTTTTAAAAAGTGTTTAATGGTTAAATTTTCCAAATACAAATTTTTTTTTAAATGTTTAATAATTTCTTAGAACTTGGGACCAGCAGTTGGCGTAATGGTATGTCGCTGGACTCCCATAGAGTTGGCCATAGTTTGAGTCCCAGACCCGGTGGCTTAAACTCACACTGGGCGCATGTGCATGCATGCTCAAAATCCCAAGAGGAGAATGGAGGAGAAGGGATTGTGGTATAGCCACCCCCCCCAGAAGATAATATTTCCCTTTCTGTCTCTCTCTGTCTTTCTGGTGAGTGCACGTGTACTATAGCAAAAAACTCTCCAAAAAAAAAAAGAAAAAGAAAAACAGAAAAAATGTCATGACTTTTCCAACAACCCAATAAATCTATATATCTTTGAATAAGGTGGTTGAATAAGACCATCTTATTTGAATAAGATAGTTTAGACTGGTTAGGGCTGGCCCTGTGATGTTGGAAGGCTTGGAAACTAGATACAAAAACTGGGTCAATCGCACTGCTTGGTTTATAGGGTGGGCGGGGTCTGTAAAAAAAAAAAAAAAAAAAAAAAAAAAAAAAAACCTCTCAAAAATAATAATTTCTCAGAACTCTTAAACAATTCAAAATAAAAGATTATTTGATGATATCTCATGCCCTTACAATAAATCACTGTATGGACAGCAGGTGACATGGTGGTTAAGCGTGCCGGACTCCCACATAGCCAACCATGATTCGACTCCTGGACCTGGCAGCTTGCTTTCTCACTTTCCCTCTCTCATTCTCTCTCTCACTCTGTCCTTTTCTGGTCAAACTAAAATAAATAAATAAAGTTAAATAAAATAATTCGAAAGTAAATAAGTAAGTAAATGTAGGTCACTAAAAGTATTTAAATAAAAAATTATGATATATGTTAACATTGCTACATGCCCACCTTTAGATGACTTAATCTTTTTTTTTTTTTTCCTTTTTTTTTTTATTATCATAATCTTCTTTATATTACATTGGATTACATATAACTTTACATTGACTTCCATTGCTTTTTCAAAAGGGAATGCCATGCATGTCAGTCAATACAGAG